TTGTTTCAAATCATGATCTTATCGGATTACAAAAATTTGGAGAAAAAAAATATTTGTCCGTTTCTTTTGCCTGGTTTGAGTTTGTCACATAAGTAATTATGATTTAATTAATCATAGGCGTGTTCATTAGTGACTGGAGTGGCCTACTCATGAGGTATTTGAAATTTTTGGAAAAAAATATGGAATGCCGCAGCTTTTTCATAGTCTGATTTTTTTACGCCTGAACACTAGTATATACAATTGTACCGTTTTTGATGCGAAGCTCCGCTGTCTCTGTATACAAAAAAAATTGTGTACAAAACATGTGCTCGAGTGATTTTCGCCTAATTTGATGCAGAGGCTCATGAAGTATGGAATCAAGTTTTGTGAATTTCAATGACTCATTTGCATTATTTCTTGCTGTAATTTCTTATACTTCATTCATTTAGTCAAGGTATGTATTTGTTGGCAAATTCATTTTATACTTTCAAAGTGGGGATTGAATTTCGCTTATTGCTCTGAAAAATGGGGGCGGAAAATTTCTCAGCAAGTGTTGTTGACTCAAGAAACGCAGTTGTTATCAGTTCATTTTTGTCCCAAACGCACTCAATATTTTTCCCAAATAAACTCAATTTTTTGTCTGTTTGTCACAAGTATCTATTTTGAGACAACTGGATAAAGAAACGTTTGCATAAAATTTCTTATGAAGAGCTTCAAACAGCTTCAAAGATTTTGTTCGAAATTCTGAAATGTTTTTTTTCTGCTTCTTTTGTTCATTAACATCCTTATGTTAGCTATTATGTTAAATAAATTATCTGTTTATGTTTTTGAGCTCATTGACTTTTTAAAAATGTTTTTTGACAGTTGGATCGTTTTCGTTTTACTCATTTTTAAGAGCCGATCAACGTAGTTCAGACTATTATATAGGTCGTGATGATTTTTTCAAATTTTTTTCCCGGTTTGACTTTTGATTTCTTTTTTTAGTTCAATTCATTTCTTTTGTTGAAAGGAAGGCAAACTCCGCTATCCAAAAGCGAAAGTACACAGGTCGCGAAAAAGTTGATGGATTTATCATTTCGGAGATGGATTTTAATTATCAGAGATCCAACAAATAAAACGTTTACTTTTTTATCCAGTTTTCTTAACTTGAGTTAATTTTATCACCAGAAATTTAATTATAGATTGTTCTAGAACTTTGAAGAGTTTTGAGGCCATCTATTGTTTTCTTCGGGCTGACTTGCTCAGTTTCTTGAAAGTTGAAATTGAACTTCTGGATTTTTTGCTGCTCTTACAAAACTCTTTAGTAGTTATGTTAGTACTCTTGATTTTGCTGTTTTTCTTCGATAATTTCGGTTGTTTGCGTAGTTTTTTTCATTTTAGGTTTCCACAGCTTGAACTTTGCAGATTTACCTTATTATTAAAATTGATAGTCATTTTTAAGAGTAATGAACGTAGTGAATACTCTTAGATTGGTCTTGCTGATTTTTTTTTTGTTTTTTTTTGTCAGGAAAAGTCTTAAAAGTCTCTAATAACTACAGATGTGCACTCATACATATTGATGCATTTATGAATGCTTTTAGGTATATATGCACTTTTTCAGTTCAGTTGAAATTCATCTGCTGAAAGTGACGTAAATAGAACTCTCCAAATAGGAACGTGTAAATGGCGCAAAAAAAAACGTGAACGATTTCTAGTTTCGAAAGTGGAATTTAATTCAGCGAAATTATAGTTTTACCTATTGATCCAGTTTTCTCAAGTTGGGTTAATGTTATCGAAAAAGCGACATTAATAAATTTCTCTAGAAATTCAAAGATCTTAAAGGGAAGCTTTTTTCTTGCTTTGAAGCTCGTTCTCGCCCTCGCTCGATTTTTCCAATAAAGTCAGTGTTTTTTGTTAACTTACGTTCATTACTCTTTTCCAACTGTCTGTTGGCTATGTTCAATTTTTTCCCAAATAGTTTTTCGACTTTGTTTTTGTCTGAGATTATGCCTTCTTGCTTGCGATGTTATTTTCTTGGTGTATGTGTAAAATTGCCGAGTCAGTGATATACTGTTTAAGAGTCGATGAACGTAGTTCAGACTGTTTTATAGGTGGGGGTTATTTTGTTTTTTTCCGGGAATTTTTTTCCACGCTCAAGTTTATTTTTTCGCGGTTTGACTTGATTTTTTCTTAAGTTCAGCTCATTTCCATTGTTAAAAGGAAGGCAAATTCCACTATCGAAATGCGAAAGTTTATAGTTCACGGAAAACGTTATCGACTTCTTATTTCGAAAATGGAATTTAGTTATCAGATTCCAATGCGGAATAAAATTTTACCTATTGATCCAGTGTTCTCAAATTGGATTAGTTTTCTCAAAAAAACGATCAACAATCATGACTGATTTTAGAATATCAATGAGCTTTAAGGCCATTTTTTTCTTGGAATTTTGAAAGTTGAAAGTTTTTCTAAACTAAAAGTTCGCCGCGTATTCGTGAAGGTGCATAAAATCACAGCTCAGATAAGCGTCAGCAGGTTATTAATCTCTCATTTAAGTCATTCATTGCTTTATCTAAAAGAAAAGAATTTTCGTAATACCATTCATGATTATTTTCGTTTTCTTTTCTGGTTGAATATAAAGATCTATTAATGTTGATTTTCCATGACTCCTAATTTTTCCTTGACTGCGATTTGTCGTACTCTGTTTAAGGGAGTGTGCAGGAGTGTCTCTAATTATCCTTTCTTTTATAAAACCTGTCTTCGAACGTGAATTCAATTAATTTTTGCTCTTCTGCTATGATTTCGATCGAATAGAACGGTAGTAGTCACTGAGAAATGGAATCTTATAACCTCGTGTTCTTGTTCCGGTATATCCTCTGAAGTTATTTATGCTTTTGGAACCGAATGATATTAATTGAATGATAGATTTGTTGTCGCTTCATTGCTCTTATTCTTTGATCTTTTGTCGTAGTTTGTTCGGACTTAACTGCTCCCTATTTCAGCCCAACCCTACTTTAAATTTGCTCTCTGGTGTTTTTGTTGCTCTCCTAAGCGTCACTGAGCGTTTGTTTAACTGTTTGGATAATGATCTATTTCTCCTCAGATCTCACCTGTTACAAGTTTATATGTTTTGGCGTACTGGGTTCCCCTTTCTCTTTGATTGTATCAAGGTCCTTCTGAAACTCAGAAGCAAGTTTTCTAACAGCTTTGTATGGGTTGAAGCTAAGAAATTGTTAACAAGGAAAATCATAGGTACTCTTAGGTGCAGATTTAGTTTGTCGCTCCTCAGGAATTCATCACCCTCAGGAGTTTTTGACCCATTATGAGTTTTTTATTTTCTCTAAAATTACCCCGCCAAATCGGAGATAACTAGTTTAATCAAAAGACCATGTTAGGTGGATCTCCCCAGCATAAGCTGCGAAGCCCTAATATTTGTAGAAAAAAGTTATGACCTTAGAAAATGTCCAAATTTTAAACTTTGCCCGTTTCTGCCTTTTTCTCTACCCTGCTAAAAATTTGAGATCAATTGTTCAGTCGCTAAAATCAGTGTTGGGAATCCTCCCTGCATAAACGTTTACGCCCTATTTTTTGTAGACGAAAATTTTAACCATTAAAATTGTTCAGTTTTGAGGTCCACTCTTTGAAAATCCCTGCCAAGTTTGAGATTGCAGAAAATTTTTTTGAAAACTGCTGTAATCTACGGCCTGTTATGTTTTAGAAAAGCAATATTGGGTTTAGCAAAAATCCATGTTTTGAAATGTTGACAGTGCTTTGGAAACTTTTTGGGTATTTCGAGATCTACGGTGCCAAATATGAGATTGAGGGTTCAACCAAAGAACAAGGTGTTGAGGTATCCCCTGTATAAAGGAAATCTACCTAATTAATTAATGTAAAAATCAGTTCTGGACTTGAGAAATGTCATATAATTGACATTTTGACCTGACACATTTTTGGACTCATTTTTGGACAAAAAGTTTATGGCCACAAAAATTGTCCAGTTTTTGAAATTTGTGAAGTATTTTGGAATTTGATTGTGGATTGCTTGGCCAAATCTGAGATAACGTGCTTAATATACAATTTTCGCGCTAAGATTTTTCACAGCATAGCAGCTACGCCCTAATTTTTGTAGAAAAACCATATTGGACAAAGCGAGGTTGTCCTTTATTCGAAATTCTGTTCGTGATTGAAATTTTTGTAGTTTTCGAAAATGTTGGTTCCAAATCTGAGGTCCAGAGTTCAATCAAAGGAACAAGCTGAAGGGGTAGATCCTGAATACGCGAGTTCTCCCATAGTTTGTAAGGATTTTGCTATGGACTTGAGAAATATCTATTGACCCATTTCTTGGTCTTTGTTCAATTTCCCAAGTTCTGAAGTTAGGAAATCAAGAGGTGTTGAGGTGATCAATTGATCTCCCCTGCTAAAGCGTTTTCTCTGATGTTTGATAGGGAATCAGCTATGGACTTGTTAAATGTCCTGTTTTTGACTTTTTGACACATTTTGAAAAACGATATAACGTTTTTCGCCGATTGAAAAAACCGCCCTATCTGTCGATTTGTTTTGTAAATCAATGCACCCTTTTTAAAAAAAGTCTTTGTCCCCCCTGATTCTGAATAAAAATTTCAGAAAAAACCACATCGAGCTTAAGTATTAATTTATAAGTAAAAATACAAAAGCAATTAAGTTTCATAATATAATTACAAACCAGCATGTGCTACTCAGTAAATCCGAAATTCGGCAGTTCAAAATTGTGGAATCCGGGCTGTTATGATCTGGTTCTATAGCGAATTGTAATGTCCGGCAGCATGATGATTATATCGATCACTGTTTATTTGATCAAGTCGTCCGCTTAATTTGACGCGCTTAAACTGGACCGTGCTTCGCCTCGCCTCGGGTTTTCACGAAGTTGGTTTGGAACCGGTTTGCACGCCAGAATCTGCCCGGCCTTGCCATGAAACGCTGTTGAGTATCTGTCTAGCCATTGGCAAGAAGAAGAAAAGCAAAAATCAATAGACCAGCTGTGTTTGGATCGTCAGGTGTTTGGACAAATTGGGGACAAATGACAAACACAGAAAACAAAGATAAACTCGTATCAAAAATCAAACTGTGACCTTAATGATCAAGTTTTATGTCTATTTCAACTTGATTCCCAAAAGTTGCAGCCGGCATTAAATTGGTTTAACAGGTTATAATGCAAATAAATTCGATTTTAAAATTTTCTCCGACCAATTGACTGAGATTAAAGGAAAGTTGCTAAAAAGAAGAGCGAAGTTGATTTGGAACCTTATGACGCTGCGAAGTAATTTCTGGGGGCTGTTTCGTTTGACACCTATGTTTACCTCCACTCATAAACTGTTTAGTTTTATATTCTCGCGAGTCATTCTCTACTCTGACGAGAGCTCCTTACAATCCCGGTCTATTTAATCGTTCGGTTGAATTCAAATGGTCGAAAATATTTGATCATGATCGCCAGTTGCTTTGATAATGAGCTGCTTTCTTTGAAGCTGAATGTCATGATTTCGACGCCATGTTCTTCTTTCGACAACAATAAGAACGCTTACCGCTCCTTAAAACGTTCAATCGAAGAGACGTATCTGTCTGTGCTGCTAAGTAGTAAGTTAAGCAGTTATAAAATTCATGCAACCCGTTCATGCCGCGCTGTGTAATGATTGGTGTCCTTTGTTGTTGTTAGTAACTACCACAAATACGCTTCCTTTCTCCACTTTGGATTACCCGGGTGTCGACCCAACCCACGGACCATTAAGCCCTCTTCCACTGCAATCTTTATCCAGTCTGCCATTGTATTCAACTTAATACACGTTCGCTACCGTCTGTGAAATCCCGAAGAGAACTATTACGACCTGACCGAGCACTCAGAGTTGTGATTATTTTCGTGGATTCATTATTACCAACCCTGTCTGCTCCTCAAGAGTCACGGTTTATAACATTGATACTGGCAGACAATTACTCTTTGATAATGAGCCCTGCCCATTTTTCTGTTTTATTCTTAATTGAATACCCTGTTTTATGATTGAGTGAAACATAATATACTGAACTGCGCTCCTTCATATTATTATGTTCATTTAAGGATTTTAGATCTTATGAATCGATGGCCGCTCCAGATATATTGTTATCATGACATGCGAATGGTAATGTTGTTTACTCTAATCGTCTGTTTTTTTTTTTTGCTGGAAATCGGTTTCTCATTATTTCTGAATCTTAATATTCCATGTGTTTTTCCGTAGTGAAACATTAACACCAGTAATAATTGCTGTCTTGCTTCTAGTAGTGCAATTGTGTCGAGAGAGTTAAGTTTAATTGAGTTCTGACTCCGATTGCGAATCTGGCTGTGAGCGAATTGTTCTTGCTCTTCTGTTTGCCAAATACTTGTCGTATTAAGAGTCAAAGAGAGAAATCAAAAAGAAGAGAAGCTAGAAGCACTGGTAGTAATTGTGGAAATGTTTCGTGGTTCCAATTAGGTATTACCATGTCCTGTTGTGTTCGCGTCTCTTCGTCTTAATGATACCAACATCCATGGGAAGTGCAATCAGGTTCGCACCAGGTGCAACAACAAAACATACCATTCAAATCAACACAATATTACATAATCACTGGCGTACATTTCTTTATGAACCAATTTTGGCCTCTGATTTTATCTATCAAGATAAAGAATATTGTAGAGATCGAGATAAGAATTTGGTTGAATGTGTCCCGCCTCGTCTAAATTATTTTATTGAAACGCATTTTTAATTGATTCACAATCACCTTTTACAATTATTACTACTCGAATCGATTCAATTTTACCATTTGAACTGCAAAGTGTATTACGTTCACATTGCATTACCATTGTTCGATTCTAAAGCACACTACTGTAGTTTGATCGACTGAAATCAATTCGCCTTACCACAGCGGACGTCGCACACCTGTTTAACACAGCTTACTGTGCATCACATCTGTGACGCCGATTGACTAGCAGCCGCTCTGCTTCAAGTTCTATTGAGCCATCAAATAGTAAATTTTATCTCACACTGAATCAAACAGTCGAGTGGGGGTCTGAATTTATTGTCGACGTATATGTACTCGCATTGATGTCAAACCTATTTTGATCAATTATTTTTCTACTGCTCTCTTAAGTTGAGCATGCTTCGCCTAATATCATTGATGCTGCAAACGTCGAACCTCCTTAAAATACAGGATATATTACAGATTGTCTAGTGACTTCTCTGTGCTACAAACTAAATTATAATTCAGTGAGATTTATTGGCGGCCGAGGTTTTTCTACAGCAATGACTGGTCGACTAAGAACGGGTCCTGAGAGCGCAGGTTATGAGAGGTGTCCATCTCTCTCCTCTGTGGAATGGGACCGAGACAAGGAGATCCTGGTTAGAACTCACAATCAACAGAGAACGGACGATGCGCAACAAGCAAACATATCACAAACACGACAACCGCAATCGTCTCGCCCGCCGGAACAAGGGGCGAACATCAAACAGATGCAAAAAACGTCGGAGTTTGATAGGAACAATCAGACACAGGGTACAAATGTCGCTCGTAAGAGTCATTCCAATTCTACGCACAACAACAATCACAATTCCACCCAGCAATCGAAGAGCAACCATAGAAATTCTGGAGTCCCAGCTGTGCCTGCAACGAGAACCAGGCAACATCAGCTAAACAAGCAAAACAGACAAAAACAGAGAGAAAGACCTAAAAGCATGTATGAGAGAGGATCGCTTTCGTACTACCCAGACGCAGACGAATATGAAGATGACAGCGACGAAGAGGTGTCCACAATGAACAATAGATTAGGAGTAACAGCTGACATGTATTCGATGGCGACGTGTCTGACATCATGCGATGACCTCTACTCGTTACATGCTTACAACAATCAGCAAGAACATGAGAAGTCGAGGTTACGATTCTCGGTACCCTATAGTTTACTATCGTCGCTTTCCTCAGAGAATTTCCCGGTACCACCATCCACTCCATCATCATCATCGGTGCTAACAACCCATACCTCAACGCCTGCACCCTCACAACCCCAGCAGACAAAATCTTCACACGATCTACTTCATTGTCAACCAGTAGTCCAAAAGCACCAGGAGCAAGCGTATCAAAACTATGGAAATTATTGTAGTGCTTCGAGTAGCGTGCGCATGAGTTCGCAGACACAGTCGAAACCAGTGGAAAATAAATGCAATTGTTACTCCTCTTCCGACTCAAAGGCGCAATTTGCGAATCAAATGCAACAACATGGATGTATCGCAACGCGATACCTCTGTCCATACTGTCATATGCAGTAAGTAACTGCCGAGTGCAAATTTTTGCTGAGAAGTATAAAATATATATGGTCATTTTCCAGCACGCCAATACCAATTTTGTAAGGATCACAAGTGTTTCAAAGTTGAAACATGCACGGTTACTAGTCGGAAACAGTAATTGGCAATGTTCTTGTCATTTGTTGTCTCATGCGTCTAACTGTATGATAGAAGCGACGTGCTTTTCAGTCTGTATTCATAGATGATATCAGTCGGTGTATCTGCCGGTTTTTGAAATGCATAAATTATAAAAATGAAAAATGCCTTCAACCATGTTTTACTTTTCAACTTTCCGAAACATCCTTTGAAGGCTTAAATTTTATGAAAACGCAGATAACTAGTAAAGAAAGATCATGAAATTCAGAAATTCTTCAAAAGTTTTCAAGTTAATCTTATTTCACTTCACGACTTTATAAGGAACTATTCGGCTTGAAGTCCCTAATTTTAGACTTCGGCTTGAAGTCCCATCGGCTTGATGTCCGGCACCCTATTATATGGTCTTCTTGTCTAATGTAGCACTAGCATAGCAAATCCGGAAAAAATCATATCTGCCGCCGTTTTTTCCATTGTTAGTTTGAACTTATAAATTCGAAATTTAATGAGCTGGGAGTCGACACAGTCTTGAAATATATAGGTCACCATTGTTCAAAGCAACACTTTTTAGGTGTCAATGAATTGAGAGAAGGCATCATTTAGGTCGCGGGTTTTTTGTTTCTCGTTTTTTTTTAAGGAAATCTCTTGAAAGTTTTTCACACTCGAATTTGATTTTTCGCGCTTTAACGTTTCATTTCTTTTCAATTAGATTTGAATTTGATTGCCCAAACGAAATAAACTTACGCTCTTCAATAACAAGTGCAAAGGGCGTGAAAAACCGTGAATGGTTTTGAGTTTTGAACATGGGTTTTAGTTTAAGAATTTCCCAGCGGAATAAAAAAAAAGTTACCCGTTGGCACAGTCTTCTCGAATTCGGTTAGTTTTTTAAGTAAGTGTGTCGTTCATCGAAAATTCTCGAAATTCAAAGAGTTTCAACGCGATCTGTTTCTTCGAAATTCAAAAGTTGAAAATTCGGCATAAAAAAGGCATTCGTTTTTTCGGCTTTCTTTAGTTCAGTGAAAAGTTTTCGGATCTGGTTAATTATCCCCCCCTATTGCTATTGGGGGAAATTCGTTACAAGGTACTAAATTTGTATTTGCTTAACTGTTCAATTCGTTCTTTATAGGGGGAGGGGGGGAGAGATTCGTTACAAGGTACCATAGGGGGGAAAAAGTTAACAAGATCCAAATTTTCAATTTTTTGTTGGCTGTGTTTCTTATCTGAATAAAATGACGGTAAATTTAGAAAGGGGTGAAATATGCGATCCGCTTCAAATTTACCGTGTTTTTGAGACACGTCCTCCTGGCAGTTTTTTGGGTAGCTCTTGCATTTCAGGAGCTTGCATAATTGATGTGAATGTTTAAAAATTTGTTTGCTCCTAATATATGACAAAGGTCAAGTTTCAACCCGTTTGAAATATGTGGAAGAGGAACAGTTTGAAATATTTATTGTCGGTTAAAATTTAGAGATTTGTTTAAATACTGAACTGAAATTTTTTTTCATTGTCAAGATTTTTTTTTTGAAGTTCTTAAGTTACCACCGCATTCTTTGTTTAGATTCAGCTCTTCGACTGGTGGAAATCTCCCTTCTAGATTGATGGGACTTCCAGGTGGAAGACAAAGACCCCAACGCAAGAAAAAGAAGAAACCCTTCCAGAGACGCGTCAACGGCAGGGTTAGTTATCCATTGCTCTTTCATACTTTTTGAAATATAATTTTGAGAGCACTGATGCTAGTCATGAATTAATCGATGCACTAGATGCGCTTTCTTGTTGTTCCGACCATTGAAAATGGAGGAGGAACTGTATTCAGGTGTGTTTTAGTTTTTTTTTCACGCAAATGCAGGCACCACAAATAATCATCGAAATAGGTTGAGCGATATATCATATTAAAGCCTTTTTACTCGTGATTCGAACGCCATAAAAAAGTTTTCAAAAAAGTTGTCCCAGTGTTGAGAAAAACTGTTTTGAAATGTCTGAGTTTGAGTCTAATTTCCAGCGAGTAAAGAAAGCGAGCAGGCTTATTATAGAAGGATAAGACTTGAAATTTTACACAACTCCATTAAAAATGTTTTTTAAAGTTTTTCATTTTTCTGCAAAAAAATAATTTCTGCAAAGAAAAATTTTGTTTTTTTTTGGTTATTTTTTTGACAAAAACCGTTGACCTATTTGCCTATTTTACTGTAACTGTCGAATAGGCCTAATTTCCTGGTTTTCATCAGATCCTTTCATCTCACCACGATTAAAACAACAACACTAATTTGAAAAAAAAACATTAAATTTTTTTGTATTTTTTTAAAGAATATGGTCGGAACATTATTTGCTATTTGCACAGCAACCGGCCCTCCTTGTTGATATTGTGTGTTTAAAACATGGATGTGTTACAGGCCAATTCGTTCAGCAGTATCACCGATTCAACAATGTCGCTCAACATCATTACAGTTACACTCTCCATGGGTAAGAAAAGTCCAAATAACTTATGGGATTTATTGTACGTACCTAACAGGTCAAAACTTGTCAAACGGATACGAAACTGAAAGTTTCTTGCGACAGACGAAGGTTGACTCAATAGACCTACAGAATTAATGCTCTATGACATGAAAAGCGTTCCAATTACCTGATATTTTTTTCAAGATTTATAAAGTTACGGTCTCGGAGAGTAAGTGTGATTACCCTTCAAACAAATGATCCTTAACTATTGCCCGCATTGGAATTAGTTGTACTTAAATATAGTTTACCATTGCCTTTTTGGTTTAAGAAACGACCAGCTTTCTGGGCATCTCCATAGTAGGACAGACACACAAGCAGGGTGACGGTGGTATCTACGTCGGCACAATTATGCCCGGCGGCGCAGTAGCACAGGATGGAAGAATAGAGCCGGGAGACATGATCCTACAAGTTAACGAGTACTCTTTTGAAAACATGAGCAATGACGACGCTGTCAAGATTCTGCGAGATGTCGTGGTACGCCCTGGACCCATCAAGCTAGTGGTAGCAAAATGCTGGAACCCAAACCCTCAGTCTTACCTTTCACTGCCCAAGGCCAATGACCATATGTCCCAGCAGCTGCGCTCTACAGCTGGAGATCCGCAGTCTTGGGTTGAACAGGCCAGTCGCATGATGAACTACAAGGGCGGTGGTCCTGGGGGAGGTGGCAGTGGGCCAATTAGTCCCTCGCTTGCCTCAGTCACTTCAGACGGGTCTCTGTCCTCTTCTCTCCCTGAAAGTAAGTAGCCGTCAATCATGTGATATGCGCTTCGGTTTGAAATGCGATCTATCCTAACATTCTGATACAAAAGTCAACGGTATTTCAATAGCCGCCAAACGCTACTAAATCAACCAATAATAACTGCCAAGTTTCTTTAAATAAAAAACTTGGCTCTGGGGTTTTGGATTCAATTGTTTGTACTAACCGTTTGAGCTAGTGTTGAGCTAACCAGCTTGCGTTGCTTATTAACAGGCAGCATAATCTATCCCGGTCGAGCAGACAGCACGAATTACCTACTGGCTGCAATCACAGGTGCGCCCCCACCCAGTGCATCAGGAGCCCCCACGTTCTCTGGTGGAGGTCCCGGAGGTCAAATGGGAAACATGATATCCGGCGGAGGCAGTGGGGGAGGATCAGTTGGCACTCCTGGAAGCGGAGGACCTGGTCAGATGGTTGGACCAAACGGGACTCCGATTTTTGGGATGAGCAGTGCAGATTACCACCAGCAACAGCAGCAGCAGGAAAATATGGGAGGGGCAATGGGGATGGGAATGATAGGTGGACATCATTTATCAACCAAGACAGACGTGCTCACTGTATTGCGTGCGGTCCAAATGCCCAACTCTGGTCTGGAGATCAAGGACAGGATGTGGCTCAAGATCACCATTCCTAACGCCTTCCTAGGTCAGAACCTGTGATGTACTCTTAGTTGTTCGTTAAAAGTTGATGCTTTTCTATTCAGTGACGTCGAAATTGAAAGATGGTGATTGGTGTTAGTCTAATTCGCGTGCTCTGCTTCTGTAGGCCACAGCCTTGTGGACTGGCTGTTCGAGCACCTGGATGGCTTCTCTGTGAGGAGAGATGCACACAAGTATGCAAGCAGACTACTCAAAGATGGCTTCATCAAACACACCACGGGAAAGGCCTCATTCTCCGAACAGTGCTACTACATTTTCAACAGCGAACACGCTATCACCAGTCAGTTTATAGCTCTAAATTCTGATATCACCCTTCCTTGGGGATTACTTTATTAAGTGTTAATGGAAAAAATGGTTTCGCTATTTGTCTTTTGACTTCGTTTCAAGTTCAATTTAAATTCATTTGCTAAATGGAAGTCACATTAACTTCTCAAATTAAAAAAAAGGTCAAATGACGCAAGCAAACTTGAATGACTTCTAGTTTCAAAAACTGGATTTTAATTTTCAAAATTCCGAGCGGAGTATAAAACTGGCTCTTCCCCCCCCCCCCCCCACCTCAGACGAGCTTCAATTTTTGAGTGTAACGAGTGGTTTTACGAGGTTGATTATGAAGATCAAATATGTTTGACATGGCCTAATTAGTCTATATGTCACTTTTCATAACAGTCGTCAATGTGGTCAACAAACTTACTTGTAAAAAATTGCAGGTGGGGGGGGGGGGGAAGGAAAAAGAGCCTTAAAACTATATTTCATTGGGATTGATCAAAAATTGTCAATTATAAAAGATTCTGGAAATTCAATGAGCTGTAACTTGAAATATGTTTTGTGTAATTCGACAAGTTGAGTTTTTTCAAAAGAAGTCAATTTATTCGAGGTCTCCTTGAATTGATTGACACTTTTTCAACTGTCTGTTGGCTATGTTTAGTCTTTTTTCGTACAGATATGAACAATTTGTCCTACCCTGGAGACAACAGTAATGCAGGCGCAAATCTGAAGCAGCGTGAGAGAGATCCCCTGGAGGTTGACGAGGAAAACGACGTGCTAGCACCCCTGCCCTATGCAAGTCCATGGGGAGCACCGCAGTACATGGGCTACCAGCCTAGGACAGCCGGCTACCAAGGCAACCAGCCCTTGCCTCCACCACCTATGGGACACCCGGGCGCAGGACCACAAGGAGCATTCACCGTCAATGAACTAGACTCGTTTGGCCCAATGGGGATGGGCGGAATGAGTCATCAACAGATGCCTATGGTGTCCTCGGCACAGCAGCAACAATTGATGAGCAACGGAGGTCACTCTAGTCCGGGTAAGAACAGACTATAGTGTCAATTAGTGCGCTTATGATGCTATTTATTATTTGAGTTTTACATAGCTTGAATAAATAGTCGGCTCCCACCACCAACCTCACGTAAGCATCAACTTTATGGTGTAAGAAGAAATTTTAACAAGTTTAAGAATGAAGACCAAATATGTTTGTCATGGCCTAATTAGTCCACATTTAAAAGTTAATATTCAATTCGCTATTTAGCCGGCAAGCCAATGGCCACTAATGGTAAGAGCAGTGAAGTTAAGCACTCCGCACTTGCACATATCAAAACAGCCACACCAGATGTCGCCCTGTTGTTCTCTGAGTTTCTGTATCTCTAATATTACACTTGCGCGAGCAAGTATAATGTAATTGGGTACTAGATTTTTTCTCGCAGCAAGTCTTCAACTTGCTTTATGATTGAAACTTAACAACTTCCAGGTTCCTTCACAGTTCGCCTAAAGGTATCGCCGTCGCCTTTGTACCCTAAGTCTGGGGATGGAGTCCCGACCAGATCTTTTTTTTTTCAATATGTATGCAATTGAATTTGTTTCCGGTAAAAATAGAATTGTCGGACTTTCTTGTCTGCTCAAGTTTTGTCGACTTAGTTGCAACACCGCGGATTTTTCTTGCGATTTAAGCAACTTTTGATTTAATTGCAAGTGCAAGTTTTTTTTTGTTATTTCAGGAGGGACTTAAAACTTTATAGATTTATTTATAAACTCGTATTTTTTTCGGCGCAACTTGTGTCTGCTCAAAGGTGGTCGGCTTTGCTGCCTCTTCATAAGTTTTGCTCTCTTGCTAATTTAATATTCAAATGCCTGGCCCGCTTGCCTGTGATGAACTTCTATCGAGGCATACGTAATTTAAACTTTTGTAGACCTAGTTTTTTCGTCTTATAATTTTTGATGTATCGCAGGTGATGCGAAGCTCCGCTTGAACCCTGTGTAAAAAACTCAAATGAAATTATTTGTGCACTTGAGATTTTCTATATAATAAAAATTACACTTGTGTCTACTAATTTTCGACTTCATTTCAACAGCATGCACTTTTTTGAAGGTTCAGCTATTTTACCATATCAATACCATATCTAAAATTTTAAATGAAGCAGGTATTCATGTTGCATCGTATGAAGGGCGAAATTTTTTTTAATGTTCATGTGCTCATGGTCTGGGCGGAGTCTGACAAAATTTATAAAGCCCAAAATTTTTTTACTCAACGTTATGACTGCTTTTCACCCAAGTTATGACTGCTCAGTTGGCACCTTCACGGCCTTTATTAGCATGTGCTTCGACATTCGAATAGAAATCAGTTAACTCAGTTGATGCATTATTACACTAGTCAGCAGCTAGGGTTCCAGTACCAACCTGCTTTTTTTCTAACCTAACTCGCAAATAAAAGTGTTCATTTGTGTGCCTTTTTGCTATAATCACGATCTGTAGTATTAGAAATTTTATAGCTGCTTTATTTGTGGCTAGTGTTTGTAATGGTGTAAGCGTTCGTAGCTGAGTAGTTGATGCGTGAGACTGATAATTTCTAGGTCGCAGTAGGTTCGAATACAAGACGTCGCCTAATTTTTACTAGTTCGAGGCTTATTTTTACTCTTTCTTACTGGACTTTTTAAAATTTTAAGAGGTGCTTTTTGTCGCGTTCTGGCTATTGTTTGTGTAAATTCATCAAATGAATCTTTGCTCTGTGTAAATTAATCAAGTGAACCGAAAAAAGCTATTTGTTTCAAACATAACAATAATAAGAATTCGATTTCAAAAGTTTTCGAGTTCAATTTGTCTTGCAATTTTTTGAAATGCATAATTTATACAATGTCGCTCTATGCTTTCCAATTTATTACATGCAAAATTGGTGTGGATGCCTTCAGTTTGCTATATTCTAAACTATTACCTGCAAATTTTGTCTATTTGCATTTCGTGCATTCTTTTTCGGCTAGCTGCCGTGTTATTTTTTGAATCGCCTGTGAATAAAATCAGAACCAAAGTGTTAAGTGCATTGTACATTTTGAATACAATTACTGTAATGTGAATTTAATGTAAGGATTTTTAGGCCCGTTGATTGTCCTTAATTGATAGTCAAATTTTGAGACTTGTTTTAAAATTATTATATATACTGTAGGCAATATTCTTTCAAACAATTTTTTTCATGAGAAAAACGAAGAGAAAAGTAAGAACAGTTTTTCTCGACACTAGAGAGTTTTTTTATAATGCGAGTCAAAACAAATAGGGTTTTATGATACCATTCTTTAAGCCCCACGAGCTTTCCTTGAGGCAGTCAAAGTTGGCCGGATAAAAATAGACCATACGCCATATTCCCTCCAACTCTTCGAGAGGGGTCTGAACAAAAAGTGGCTATTTGCTGTACACGAAGCACACAGAATATCAACCCAATATAGATATTAGGTTTTTAAGTCAAAATTACAAAAATAAATTGTTTTTTTTTACAAATCGTGTGCAAGTAGTTTTTTGGCCGACAGTTTGTGAGTTTCTCAAAACAGATAAGTTGACGATGTATTTACCCAGAATAAAAAACTGACAATGCGGAAACTGCAGATCCTGTATGACAAGTCTATTATTTGTTAGGTTTCTCGGCTGAATGCGACTTGTCTTGGTGGTCACTGATTTTGAATTGAGATAATACTGAAAAGAAATTAGTTCAATGCTTCTTCGAAGAGGCCGGACAAAATGATGTTCAACTATTGTTAAAGCAGCAGAAAAGGTTCAAGTGCTTAATAGTATGTGCTGAGTTTTTTGATAGATTAAGCTAAAATTTGTTTTAAAAAATAAGTATATTTCAAATATTTTGATACATTTTTACTCATTTAGGTCAATGTTAATTTACTCATTTAGGTCATGTGGTTTTTAAGAAAGTGGTTGAGTTTTCTATTTGTTTATGTTCTTGCTTAAGAGTAATGAACGTGAGTGCTCTAATATAGGTCTTGCTGATGTTTTTGTCAAGAAAAAGCCCTAAAACGCTCAAATAACTACAGATGTGCATTCATACATATTAATGCATTTATGAATGCACTTAGGTTATTATGCACTTTTTGATTTCAATCGAAGTTCATCCGCTGAAAGTAATGTAATTAGCACTCTCCAAATACAAACGTGGAAATGGCGCAAACGTCGTGAACAATTTGTAGTTTCGAAAGTGGAAATTATTTTTTATCGTTTTTTTTCAGGGTTAAGTCGTTTGTCCTGAAAAAAAAGTTTGTTCATGCTCAATTTCGTTTTATCGCGGTTTGAATTTTTTTTGAACTTCAGTGCAATTCTGAAATTCAGTGTGATTTTTTGAACTTCAGTGCAATTCTATTGTTAAAAGGAAGGAAGACTCAACTATCGAACTGGAAAATTGTAAAGGTCACGAAAAACGTGGTCGAATTCTTATTTCCCAGTCGACTTCTTATAAATTAATTATCAGATTTCCCAGCTAAATAAAAGTTTTACCTATTAATCCAGTATTCTTAAATCGGGTTAATTTTAACACAAAATTGTTCATCATATAAATTGCTCAGCAATTTCAAAGAGCTTTAAGGCCATCTATTTTTTTCGTAATTCAAATGTTGAAGATTTTTGAAAAAACATCGTTTTTTTTCAGTTTCCTTGCGTTCATTACTCTTTTCCAACTGTCAGTTGGCTATGTTTAATTAAATGTCATTTTATTGGTTTCAAATTTTTATGAGTCGACGAACATAGTTTTTATATAGGTCATCATGGTATTTTTCTTTTTTTTTAACTTAACGAAAAAAGTATTAACATAAATACTTAAAATTGAAAGGGAATAAGTGGGCTTACTTTTAAAGTTTCAATGCAGTTAGTTCTAAAAAATGAAAGCTGAAGAAACTCTTAAACCAATGAGCTGAATGTATCAAGTGCTAATGAACAAAGTGATATCATACACTTTTTTTAACAGGGAAAAGTGTTTTAAAAAACTCATTTTGTTCAACTATTCCTAAAAGTTGTTCTTGCCGAAGTTGTATTTTTTGCAATTACTTTGACTTTCTTTTTCAATTTTTTCTTTTCAAGTTCTTTCTCATTTTTTAATCATGGCTATAGTTTTGATTGCTTTGTAAGCGTCATTGAGCGAGGTGAAGACGTTCCTTTGATTTTTTTTGTTCCAGGAAAACATCCTAAAAATTGTTCTCGCCGAAGTTTTTTTTGCAACACTTTTTTCATGGTCGTGTTATTTTCCTTGTTCATGGTCGTGTTTTTTTTTCTTGAAAAAGTCTAAATTTTGATCACTCATTTTTTAATCATGGCTATAGTTTTGATTGCTTTGTAAGCGTCATTGAGCGCAGTGAAGAAATTGCTTTAACTTTTTTCGTTCCAGGAAAACAACCTAAAAGTTGTTCTTGCCCAAGTTTTTTTATTTTACAATTTCTTTGACTTCTTTTTCAAGTTTAATTAAAGTTCAGAAAGGCAAAAAATTGTAGTCTTTCTTATTTTTTTCTTAGAGGAAAATAATGCCCAGTTAACAATTTCAAGAGGTATTTTTTCCGAATTTTGTCAGTTAAAAAGTGTTTCAAGACTAAGTGAATGATATTTTCAGTTTCCTTGTTCATTAACACCTTTCCAACTTATGGATACGTTTAATTCCAATTACATGCTTCCTTTACAAAAGGGAACTGGTGCAAAAAACGTAAGCTCCGAAAGAGATTTTTAGTTTTTAAAATATCCAGCGGCCGAATGCGACTTGTCTTGGTAGTCACTGATTTTGAGTTGAGATGTTACTGAAAAGAAAGTAGTTCCATGCTTCTTCGAAGAGGCCGTACAAAATGATGTTCAACTATTGTTAAAGCAGCATAAAAGGTTCAAGAGCTTTAGTGTATGTGCTGAGTTTTTTTGGTAAATAAAACTGAAATTTGTTTTGAAAAAAAAGTATATTTCAAATATTTTTGGATGCATTTGGCTTTCTAAATTTCAATTTACTCATTAAGGTCAGGTGGTTTTTTAGAAAGTGGTTAAGTTTTCTCTTGTTTATTTCCCTGGTTAAGAGTAATAAACGTGGGGAGTACTCCAATATAGAACTCGCTGATTTTTTTTCAGGAAAAAGTCCTAAAATGCTCAAATAACTACAGATGTGCATTCATACATAATAATGCCTTTATGAATGCACTTAGGCATATATGCATTTTTTGAGTTCAATCGAAATTCATCTGCTGAATTTTTTTGACTTCTTTTTCAAGTTTAATTAAAGTTCATTTGTTGACAGGAAGGCAATTAAGGGTCTCCAATATATTTAATGAAAAATAGAGCAAAAATTTTTTAGTTTTTCTTATTTTTTCTCAGCGGAAAATAATACCCATTGATCCACTCATGAAAAAAGTAACAATTTCAAGAGATATTTTTTTCTCCGAAATTTGTCATTTGAAAAATGTTTTATAGTAAGTGAGTAATATTAATATTTTCAGTTTCTTTGTTCACTGACACCTTTCCAACTTTTGGCTACGTTTAATTCCAATTTAATTCATTCGATGAATTTCATGTGAATTACGTTCTTCATTCACAAAACGGAACTGGGGCAAAAAACGTAAGAGAACTTTAGTTTCGAAAGATATTTTTAGTTTTCAAAATTTCCAGCGGAATACAAAATTACTTATTGATCGATTTTTCTCTAAATGGGTTAATTTTATGAAAACAGTGGTAGTCAATAATTCTTCTTGAGTTTTTTTCTTTCAAAATTGAATTTGAAGTTTCCTTGCGTTTCTTTTTCAATTTTCTCCGAATGTTGAAATTTGAAAACCATTCTTAGTGTTTTTTTTTAATTTCCTTGAGTGTATTGACGCTTTTCCATCTGTCTGTTGACTATTCTTATTTTCCTATAGTGTGTCTACACTTTTTACTGTCTTTTTGCCATAGTTTTTTTTGAAATTTATTAGGGGCTAAGAACGAAATTGGCTTCTACGCAGAAACGGTCTGAGTTTCTTGACGTGACGGTGCAGTTATTAAACCGATTAATTGCTATATTTTCCTATGTCTGTCTCACTGTCACTCTTTCTGTTCTGTGATTTCCCATTTGCACGCATCAGCACAAATATCAGAAAACCCCAAAATACGTACAATGAAACTGTAAACATGTACAAAAAATCTGTTTAAATGGAAATGTTTTATGGAAAATAATTTAATAGGTCCTAAGATTTTATCCATTTTGTTATTTTGAGGTTGCAGAAATGATGTATTAGTTTTTGTTATTAAATTGAGTGAAGTGACGTGATATGTGCGGGATAGTATCAATCAACTATTGGTTGAGGTTGTCATGGATAGTAGTAACTGTTAGATTGAGTAGTGTGTATGTCTGTGTGTAGGCAGCAGCAGTGATCGCAGTGAAAAAGAAGCCTCGTCTGGGGCTACTCCAGCAGTCAGCAGAGCTAGTCCTCTCGCTCCCGAGTTCCTATAGGGATCTCTTTAAACATGTCCCTCACTACACTAATATGAAGACCCCAATACCCTCGCAGTACCACAGAAATAAATCAATTAAAGAAATATACAATTTGCAAGCGTCATCTCCGTTAATTGACCCGGCGATGCTAAATGGATATTAACTTACATCAGATGAGAGAGAAGAAGGTAGGCCTAAAAGCAGACTATTGACGGCTACAGTTGTTTGGATTGGAGTGTTGCATAATCTTGAAAAAATGAGTCGCATTCATAAACAGAAAACAGATATAAATTGGATTTCTATTTGGTACTAATTTGACTTTTTCCCTCGCGACATTGGTCTGGCCAGGCTTCTGATCTCACCCGCTTTCGTCACTTAAACTGACCATTAGAATAACCACGTACTTAAAATGCGTGTTCTATATGCCTGGCCTTAATCATTGAATCAAAACTGTCAAAATGTATTATTACAAAGATCGTAATTTGTGTAGAAGCTAAACATCCTTAAATTGAAACTGCTGTTACCCCTGAAGATTGATTCCCTGTTTGGTGCTGTGCTTTGAACAGACTGTGACCTAATGGCCTATTTCAGCTGCTCTCTAACAAGACTCCCTAACTGTCGCAACATATGATATTAATTGATACTGGTCAGCTAAATCTGCAGTCTGTTTAAATATTCACCAAATCCATCTAACCAAATGGTTGTACCCTAATTGAACTGCTTCTTTTTTGCTTAATGATTCTCTTTTCTTTCAGGTAGTAGTAACTCTTCCAACAGAAGTGGCGTGGGACAGAATCACTCTCACTCGCACAACGGAAACAGAGCAGCTTCAGGCGGCACAGGCAGCAGCAACAAAATACCCCTATGCGGTGGAGGAGGGGGTCTCTCGGACTCGTTAAGTGACCTGGACTGTAGTGCCTCCCAACGCATGGGTCCAACACACTCCAATAGTTCAGAATATTTTGTGGACCCCATGTGAACGAATGGGAACAAAGTTATCATCATCTAGTTTTAAATTGTGCTCTAAATTGGCAGAAAGTGAAGGTTATTTCTACCTTTTACGCTTAGTGATTTCTGACCAGGAACAATAGTTGCATACTATTCGAAGAACTCTGATCGCACAGTCAAAACCTATACCTCCGTTTCCATCAGCATCGAACTCCTATCAGATACTAAACCATCTCTACCAAAAAAGCAGCTGCGAACATCACAAGACCAAACTCGAAGATATAAAAGCCACTTTATGCAATTTAATTGTTAATTTTAATCTGCCTGAACCTAACGGTCTGATGTGCAATCGAACCATGTTGCTCCCGAACTCCCTTCTTTTTGTGTGGTGTGGTGTGTATTTGTGCCCATCTTCTGTCATCAGCGTGATCTGTCCTCTTCCCTCCTGTTCTTTCAGTTGCACCCCCTCCCCTTCTATTCTACCCCCCCCCCTTCTGCTAAAAAAACCAAAAGACTGAATACTCGGATCAAAAAGTGATTATCAACAGCACATTATGCATAGTTATTTAAAAAATAGTTCCGCCATGTTTTTTAATATTGTTTACATGCAGTGCAGTGCTTATCTACTCCAGATGAAATACTAAAGAGTGACTTATGGTAAATTTAACTTCTCTTGCTAAGACGTTACTGTACTCCCTCAGTCCCCAGCCAGTGATGAATTAACCTCTCCCAATTTTTCTGTCATTGTCTGTTTGACTGCTCAATTGACCAATGCAGGGTATCTTTATACAATTATATTCTAATCTAATCTATTATCTTCCTCTATTTTGTAGCAACTAACTCATCCCGCTCTTTCTTAACCTTTTCTCGTGCACATTGCCTCACTCTATGACCTTTAATTTGACCTCGGTTGAATTTGTTTTAGCGCCTGGTGACGACGAATCTAATGATGTCGCAAGTCCTAGAATTAAATTACCTGCTCTGTGTGTAATTCGTCCTGAAACAGTCTGCGTGACGCGGAGAATTTTTAGGGGCACAAGTTTTTTTCTTTCTTACCCTGCTCCTCTCTATTCCCATCGTCGCAAATCAACCCTATTTTCTTTTGTATCGGTATGTTTGCGCAGTGAGTGAATTTGCATTTTAATCCTCTTCAACGAATCGCATGCAGCAAAGCATTTTCATAGACTTAATTATTAAATAATTTTGTATTTATTTCATAGAATAGCAATTCAAATTTCCACAGCTCATTCTGTTTTTAGCATCGTGTTCACCTCGTTTTCGAATTTGGGAAGTGTTCTTTCAAATGACTTCGGTTTTTAAGGCAAATTAGAGAAAAAATTCAAATATATTGAGAATATTTTTTCGGCTTGAATTTTATTTGTCTGCCAAATAAGAGATAAAACAGAATTTTTCAAAATTGTTAGCACCAGAAACGCTTGCTTTTGTTCTATCATTAGTCCGATTTCTTAAGTGTAAACGAACCAACTGATTTTAGGTCTTGATGGTTTATCGTCTTGCTTTTTTTGAGGAAAAAATCCGAAAATGCTCTAATCACGATTGAAGTGCGGCATACTCATGTGTGCCTTTATGAAAACATTTATTTATATATGCTTTTCTAAGTGTAAAAGAACAACATTAAGTCTTGATGATGATTTCTTTTTTCACGCTCTTGATTTTTCGCGGTTTGACTTAAGATATTTTTTCTAAAGTTGAGTTCATTTCCTTTGTTCATAAAGGCAACTCCATTACTGAACAGCAAAAGTGAAAAGGCCACCAAAAACGTGATCGACTCCTAGTTTTAAAAGTCGATCAGGAAAAAGTCTCAATTTTTTTTTCAGGAAAGTCTTAAAGTTTGTTCACGCTCAAAAGTATCCATCATAATTTGTTCTACAAATTCAAAGAGCTTTAAGGACATCTATTTTTTCATCGAAATTCAAAGGTTGAATACTTTTGAAAAAAGGGTCAGTTTTTTTCAGTTTCCTTGCGTTCATTGCTCTTTTCCAACTTAGTTGGCTATGTTTTTGTTGTTTTTTTAGGAAAAAGTCTTGAAGTTCGATTTATTTTTTTTGTTAAAAAACCAAACTGCACTATCAAACAACAAACAAAAATTAAAAGTCACGAAAAACTTCTAATTTCGAAAATGAAATTTATAAATTAGAATTTCCAGCGAAATAAAAGTTTTAACTATTGATATAGTTTTCTAAAATTGGGTTAATTTGAACAATAACAAGCACAAATCATAGTTTTTTCGGGAAATTCAAAAAGTCTTAACGCTTTTATTTTTCATTTAAACTTCAAAAGTTGAAGATTTTTCTAAGACAAGTCGGTTTTTTTTCTGTTCTCTTGCGTTCATTACTCATTTTAAACTGTTAGTTGGCTATGTTCTGATTTCCCAGCATAGTAAAAAATAACCTATTGATTTAGTTTTGTCTAAATGTGCCAATGAAAAATAGTAAGTGACTCTTTGCGAAAAAAGCGTCAACGTGATAAATGTATTGAAATTCTTTGAAAGTTTTCGGGTTCCATGTTTTACCTTTTTCCAACCGTCTGTTGGCTGTTTGCGTTAAATTCAAGTTCATTTGCTACAAGGTAGAAAAATGCCGCTTTCCAATTACCAAATTGGAGATGGGGCAAAAAAACATGATCGATTTTTTAGTTTGGATTTTATTTTATAGATTTCCGAGCGGAATGAAAATTGACCCAGTTTTCTTAAATTGAGTTATTTTGTTTTCAAAAAAGTGTAAAAGTGATCAAAAAAGTGTAAATCATGAACGGTTTTTAAAAAACGAAGAGTTTTAATCTGATATATTTTGTTTATCCAAAGTACAAAAATTTTCAGTCAATTTTTGTCAGTATCTTTGAGCTCGTGTACACTTTTAGTTTTCTGTTGGCTATGTTTTTCCAATATCAGTCGCATAATTTGTGTTGTATTTCGGCAATCAAACTTTGTGCTCAAATTAGTTCCCGTTTAATTTGGAAATGGATTATCTGTGTTTAACGATGTGATCTGCAAGAGTGTTACAATCGGGTTCTAGCTTTTCTCCCGTAAATAACTTTGGGCGCAGGATAGTTCAATTTGGTCGTCATCGACAAATAAGAATTTTCGTCAACTAGCAGACAAATTTTAAGCATGTTTGCATTTCAAATGTCTATTCCGTTCGAAGGTTGTGTATTAGAGTAAGAACGTAGTGAGTACTCTCATTTAGGTCTTCGTGATTGTTTTTTTTTGTGTTTTTCTTCAGGAAAAGTCTTGAAATTTGTTCACGCTTAGTTTTCATTTTTCGCGGTTTGTCTTTTGATTTCTTTTTAAGGTCAGTTCTTTTCCTTAAGGTCAACTCCACTATCGAACAGCGAAAGTGTAAATGTCACGAGAAACGTGATTGACTTCTAATTTCGAAAATGAAATTCAATTATCAATATCTCAGCGGAATTAAAAGTTTGCATATTGATGCATTTTTTAATCAAAAAAGCAACAATCATAAATTGCTCTTGAAAATCAAAGGGCTCTAAGGCCATCTTGCAATTTCGAAAATTGGGATGGTTTAAAGAAATCAAGTAATTTTTTTTTCTGTTTCCGTGCATTCATTACTCTTTTCCAACAGTTTTATGTTGGTTGTATTTTTACCCACTCGATTAGTTTTACCAATGCTTAAAATTTTTCAGCTTACATAATATTGACTTAGCAGCCTCATTTTGAGCAAAAGAAGGTTATCTAAATGTTTTCAGATAGAAATAGTTTTGAAAAACAATTTTTATTAAAAAAAAATCGGCTCAGTTTTTGTTCGCTCAGATTTTGTCGGCTATAATCCTGCTTTGTAAGTTTTTTTTCGGTGCTCAATATTTTAAATGTCTTAAGTGGCATGCTTTTTGGAAGGACTTCTATGACAAAATCAGGACGCAATAAAATGAAAGTTTCGGAAGAAAATCTGATTTTTTGTCAGCTGTTCTCGTTTCAGTTTCTGTCTGTTCTTTTGTCATGCTAATTTTAAGTTGTAGCACAAATCGTCCGAAGTTCCGCTTCGCCTCTGTGTTGAATAGTTAAAGATCTTTCAATGCTGATTGAAATTTAATATAAGGACTGATGGCGCAGTTGTTGAGGCAATTGAATCTTCATCTGGCGTTTCGGAGATCCAGATTTTTTTTGGCTTTTCAAGGATTCGGTGTTTTCCGGGCCAACTTTCAAACAGCAAAATAAAGACTCATTCATAGGTTGTTATGATTTTGTTCGTTTTTCTGAAACAAATCTTAAAAATTTGGTATTAGAAATTGCATGCCTTTAAAATTCATCGGTGAAATACAAGGTGATTTACTCTCCCCAATGAAATATTCCAGTTTTTGGCACTGGGTTGGTTTTTCGAACAATTGTAAGCTTTGTTTAAAAAATCTTTGAGAGTGATGGAGCTTCAAGTTGATATCTAAAATATGAAGCCTATTTTTTTTACGCTTGCGGGTTAACAACTTGTTTAACAGCATCAATTGTCTTGGTTCATAATGAATTCAATTTTCTATGCGTTCCCGGCCAACATAGCCTGGAGCTAACCAGTAAGTCTGGGATGGCAAAGGCCGTGGGTTCGATTCTCACCAAGCAGGGCCTGTTTTTTTTTCAAACGCGAAATAATCTGTTTCAAATAATTTTGTTGGCCAATTATTTGTCTGTATTCTGTTGTCCTAGCTGTCACATCTTGACATAATTTTTTTGCAGCGCGCTTTTTAATGTTGCTTCAAGTGTTTGATTTTTTCGTACATTTTGTAAATTTATTTACCTTGACTTCGTATTTCCTTGTTTTTCGGTTTGGTTCAAAAAAATTCCTCGGTCGAAATTATCTCGGCCTATTTTTTTATCGGCTTAATAATCTAATTTTGGATCGTTCCAAGGGAAACACAACCTTGACATTCCTCTCCGGAAGTTTCAACTAGATTGTATGGTTACCAATCTGTTGGTTGAAATTTCTTTTTTGTTATAGAAAATTGTTTCCAGATTTAATGGAAAAATTTAGGCTTTTCTCAGAAACTTCTACTAAATTTCAAATACGGGGTATTAATTACACAAGAAAAATTGACTGGTACTGCTAATGCGTCATAATTGGAGTAGGTCTTTTAAGAAATTTTGTTCACTCAAAGTTTCACTCCTTCAGTTTTTCCGAGTAGCGTTATCGGTCATATTTTTGCTTGTGTATGCGAAGTGCAACTTCGCCTCTGTCTTAAAAAAACCGGCTAATCCCATGTGTGCCTGTATACTCCCCTAGAGTATCTTGTTACTTGACCCCTCTATCTACAGCCTTCGTAAAAGTCTGTGGGGTAATATTTGATTATTTTTTTTAGTTTTCGCGAAAACAACCTCTCAAATTTGAGTTATTAGTTTTAATGAAAAGAACGGTTTCAATGAAAAGATCTCTGCATGTGCAGCTAAGCCCTTTTTTACGTAAAATTATGGCTCTCGGAATAGTCAAATTTTTAATTTTTTGACAGTCTTTTAAACTTTTTGAATATTCTCGTAAGCTTCCGTGCCATATCTGAGATTTTGTTCAATTCTAAGGGCGGATTGTATGAAACGCTTTAGTATGTGCCACTACGCCCAAATTTTTCTGACAACAAAAGTTATGGCCCTCGGAAAAATCAAAACTTTTGATTTTTGATCGTTTTTTTTAAGTAACTACCCTCCCAAATCTGAGATTTTGGGTTCATTTGAAATTGAGGGTTGCGTGAATCTTTTTTGGCCACACCCTGTTTTTCACATAAAAAGCTATGATTCAAGGAAATGTTTGTCGGACTTTTCTCGCTAACTATCCTGACATATCTGATATCATAAATTTGATCGAACTATTAGGTTTTTGAAAGCCGTTCTTTATAATTGGCTATGACCTGTTTTCAAGCAAGCCAAAGTTTTGAAACGGACTGTTTTTTTTGGAAACATTTCGACTTCTTATGAAAACTACCGTGCCAATTATCAGGTTGTGTTCAGTCGAGAAACCCAGTTTTCTTTGAATTTTCTTTAAATTTACTCAATCAAATCTGAGATGAAAAGTTCAATTGAAAGAACAGGCTGCGATAATTGTTCCTGTAGAAGCGGCGACTCTTTGTTTTTTTTGTAAGAGAAGTGTTATCTGAAAATTGTTTATTTCAAATTTTCTTACTCTTTTCACTTATTTTTAGTTAAAAAAAACAACTAAGGTTTTGGGCAAAGACCAATTTTCGAAATGAAATTTTTCGTGCCGCATCAGTATAGCAAATTCATTTAATATCAAAC